TGTCTCATCAACATAGTAATGGTACCAACTCTGAAGCTCTGGTTAATTTCTTGATTTTATTTAGATGCTAAACTTGATGAGGAATAACTCAATTATTTGAAACAGGGTGATTTCGAAACAGGGTGATTCAATTAGCCATTTTCTTTGCTACTTGGTGCTTGCTTTGCTGACTGTTTTCTTTTTCATTCATTTCAATGTAACTTACACCCCCCCACACACAAACCTTGTTGCTTTCCAAAAAAAACAGAAAGAAGATACAACAATGTCAGCATGAAGAAGCACAGCTTATGTAGATTCTATGCCAATTATTAAATATTTCCACTCAGCCAAGCCAGTGATTGATACCCTGGTTTAAAACGGAGCTGGATGACTGCCATTTTTTAAAATGAGCTCTAGTAGTGTTTTTACTTGGTCTTTAACTACATTTTTTATTTTCCTTTAAAAAGAAACCCTATTGTTAGCTGGCTTGTAGCTGATGTGCATTTTTGGCTTGGCCTTTTGAGAGCACAAGCTACTCACTGCCTTCTGAGGATTGGAATGGATGATGTCATTCTCCCACTCCCAGTTCTTTGGAAATGTCCTTGGCCCATTTTCCCAGTTCTGATCCAAAACTTCTATGTTCTGACCAAGCTTTTTAGAATTGATGATCTCTCTAACTTAGTTCCATTCTAGTAGCAACCCCAGTTCTAGATAGATGCAATGCCTCTTCCCTTCCATTGGTTAATTTTATCCTGACCTGCCAGGATCTCTGTTCTCTATTGGTCAGCTATTTTTAAAAACTAATCTTGCAGTTGATCCAACATTACTGTTATTGAATCAATGAACTAGCTTAACCTTAGAAGCTCATGTGCCATTCAATTATTATTTCATCATGTGGGCATCCTATTGATTTCTGTCCTGGCTGGGTGAAAAATGCTTCCCTTGTTTTCCCATGGTACGGCAAAGATGCCTTTCCCTTTAACTTTTAAAAATCCCTTTAAGTTGTAATATAGGAATGTTGCTATATTATTTTTATGATGCTGAAATGCTAGTTTTTCCTAGTTTCTGTGGACCTACAGAATAAGTCAGAAATCTGCTTCCTTTTGCTATGATATCATAAAAGAATAAAAAAAAATTGCCTTAGTGTTAAAGGACAAGGGGAAGATAAAGGCAACATTTGGAAAGCAATGGAAAAGTCAAGGAAATTACTGAACAGTCTTTAAAAAGGAAAAGGCAGACACTGGTACCCCAGGCCCAATAAGAATTAGCCAGACAGCCAAGCCTGCTTCACTCCATGATTGGGAAGAGCAAGAAGCAGAGGAATGACCAATCATGTCTTGTGCTGGCCATTATATGGATGGAGTACCAGCATCATCATCACTGCCTAACCTGCTACATCTCTAAGTGGAATTTCTGAAGTTAGAGTATGAAACAGGAAGAAAAGTCAGAGAAGCAAGCAGCAGTCTACATTGAAGAGTTGCCCTTAGTGATGATAAATAGGTGCTTAAGTAGGCTGCACATTAGTCAATAATACAGAGTTTAAAGGATAAATAATGTTGAGGGTGTCTGTTTCTATACCTGATACCCATTTGTATGTTTGATATTCAACTATCTAAGGATAATAACCAGGGCTAAATTTATACTTATTTGGATTAGCATCTTCCAAGCAGGTAGTGTTATTTTGCTTAATTAATGTTGGTGTCTCTAATCCATTGTTGGTTTTATTCACTCAAAGATTTGCTTCAAAACCCTTTTCAAGAAATCAGCTTGTGGTCAATGCTCTTTGCCTTTTCCTTGCAACATGCTACATATTCATTATTTGTTACTTCAAGACTGTCTAGTCTCTATTGCCCTATAATGCAGGGGTATATTGCACCAACCTTGTGTGTGAGCAGCAACCAAGCTTGCATTACAGCAATTAGTTTTCTTCTTTCAACTTTTTTCTTAAAAAAAAACTTTAAAAAGTCACCCCAATTCTAAAGAAAAAGAAAGAAAGCCATTGGAAGGATTAGATTGTTCTCTAAAATCAAAGTGTTCTCTAAATTAAAATGTATGTTGTTAAACTCTCAGCAGCTTATTAACTCCAAGCACAGGAGAAGAGTAATGAGTAAATAGGTTTTAGTTGTGATTGCAATTGTACGAAGTGCATTATCATGCTTCCAACATTGCAGGCACATTTTATATCTACTTGCACAACCAAAACCCAAATTCCATCATATGCTGAATGGCCTCTTATCAAACCCTGAACAAAAATGTGAAAACCATCTTTATGTCTAAAATGACATACGTACTTCACAATAGATAAAAGCCCTGATGTCAATATTCAAGCAAGCAAGGCCCAGGAATCTCCCAGATGATAATAACTTCCTCTCCCTCTCCTGGCATTGTAGGTGGGTACTTTTCTAAGATGGGATCCCCTCCATGCCCTCACAGATCTCAACAATACATGCCAAACCAACCCTCTAATTTATAATAAGGGGCAGCTTACTATAACCTGACTTGACATGAAGCAGCTGCAGTGCCCAGGACCATTGCAGACCCATTGAGTGAGACCATGAAAGGTAGAACCACTGCTAAATATTAGATATGCCTTTCCAGAGAATATGTAATGTAATGTAATCCAGCTTCCCAGGAAGTAGGGAATACATTTGGAGACATTGAAGATAGCTTATGTTGGAAAAAAAGAAAGTTAAGACAGTTGTTCCATAGTATTCTCAGCGTATATGTTTAATGGTGCAAGTAGTCTTTATTTTGACAAGATTTCTATCTTTATGTGAGAATAAAGGAAATTGCTTAGAGCAGGGCTGTCAAACTTGCAGCTCGTGGGCAGGATGCATCACATGCTGGCCATGGCCCTGTCCAGTTTAGTGAAGGGGAAAATGTCCTGATATGTCATGTGATGCTGTCATGATGACACAAGTTTGACACTCCTGGCTTAGACATGTGTGTCTGTCTTGGGTTTTTGGGGGGAGGGGAGGGGATCCTGACATCAACTCATCTCTCATTTCCTGTCATATCTTCCTCTACCATCACCACTATGATATTACTGCCTGTCCATCCCTCCCTTTTACCAAGTTTGCCAATCCAGCCATTTCTCCCCTAGGTCCAAGGATCATATCCAATAGCTCATTTATTAATCACTATAGTGATTCTGTTCATATCCAACATCCATGTATTAACTAGCATGCTCTGAACTCACCCACCTTAATCCACTTCTGTTTCTGCACTCATTGGTTGATCATATCAACCCATTTCCATAATTACTGCAACAGACCCAGGTACATAGAATCACACTGATTCTATGTAAATTCTCACTGAGTCAAACTAAGGCACAGCAACAATCTCAATATCATCTACAAATTGGGGTCATCTGAAAAGCATATCACTGTTTCCCCACCCATCCCTCAGTTGTTATACTTCAGAAGGAAAATAAATGCTCTCCAGCTCATTGCCTGCAATCTGGAAAGGACATATGCCACAGTGTTTCTAAATTATAGAATGAAAATCCTATTCTTTTTAGTCAGATTCTTCTTCCACAGATGGGCACAACATTTCAAGGCCCATTGGGGGATGGAAAAGGCAGCTAATATTCTACTTCCTTGAATCCCCATGTCACAACATAAGGGGGACAAGATGGCTGCTTCCCATGGATGATGAACTGTGAGACCTTCCAACCTGTTTCTATTAAGTTTCCTCATGATTCATAGTCATACTGGGACCTCAACACACTGCACCACCACCATTAAGATTTTCCCCCACCTCAAAGGTAAATGAATTGGAAAAAATGGACTTCCTCTTTTCCCCATAAATCCAATAAATTGTTTTTTTCTGAATTTTCTGCAAAGACTGTTTTGTTTACCTTACTAAAAATTAATTCTTGTGGATTAATTGTAGTGGATCAGTGTGTATCCTTTCTATAACAGAAGCTGCAGTTACTGGAATGTTTGCTGCCTGACTGAGTTTTCCACTGTGTGGAAAATTTGCTAATAAAACTCTTTCAGCCCTCAGGCTGGAAAGAGTACTCTGAATGTTGAGGAGTTTGTCTACAATCTCAGAGCTCTCTTTTTATCTTTTTGTATTCCTCCTATGGAAAAGTTGTACCCTGCTGGCTCTGGATACAAGTGTGTAAATTGACAGAGAATATGCTTTATTTGAATCTGATCATTATAGCTCCATGACACTTCAAAACATTATTTTTGTCTTGAAAGATCCAACAGTGATCTTTGTTCATGGGAAACAGTAAAATAATTCAGTTTCAGTAGGATACCTTTTATTTCTTTTGGTAAAAATCATTTGCACTTTTCCTGAAATGTTAGGTCATCCTTATTTTCTTTCATTAAAGACATTGTCCACACTTTCTTCCATTAAAGACATTGTCCACACTTTCTCCTGCTGTAAAAAGTTATGTGTAGTGCTGTCTTAAACCTTGATAACTTGTGTGGAAAGTCAATTTAAATGGCCTGATTGGTTTGATAGGCATGATTTCCAAACTCTCTCTGTCTGCTTTTAGAAACCTGTCTAATTTCTTTCATAAATACCTCTATTGGAGTTACTCCAATACAGCATACAATTTGATAAATAAAATAAATTATCACACTCCAAAAATGACGGTGCAGCTTTCATAGGAAAGTTTTTGACAAATCCATTATCAGTAGGTTTTTAAATGACCTAGTATTCCTCTGAGATAAATTGATGTTGAAATGCTTTCCACAGCAATATTGCACTTAGATGTCACAGGAGTATCAAGTACAGTGGGTAGATAGCTTTACAGATTGCAAAATGAGATAGTTGGACTATTCTGGTGATCAGATTTTGCAGGTTGTTGGAAAAAATATCGTTGTGGGTTCAGTTCCAAGTGGAGAAGAAAGACACTGGAAAATATGGTGACTGCTTGGAAAGATGGCTTAATGGTGGGTGAAGGGAAAAAAAGGGAAGAAATGCTGAGAGTCCCTTGATATTTTGTCCTGTGATGGGATTTGAATTTGAGCTTGTATTCTGATTGTTTGTCAGACTCCCATGAGGCCATGCAGGGGCAACTCTAAGCTGTTCTGAGTCCCAGGCTTGATTGAGCCTTGTTGGATGATGATGTAATGAAAGGGCTTTGGGCAATTCCTATTAGGGCTCTACCTGGAGGAGATAGATCTTTAGTTATGTAGAATAGACTGGTTCAGGCCTTAATGGCCCATTGACAAAGGTGTGGGGGGGTTGAGTTTCTGCCTCTCTGAGTTTCTAGTTCTCTTTTAGGGGAAATATCCTGCCTTTTTAGTATATCCTAAAACAGGGGTCCTCAAACTTTTTAAACAGGGGGCCATTCACCATCCCTCAGACTGTAGGGCAGCTGGATAGGCTGGGTAGGCATGACTTGGTGGTCATATGACTGAGTGGGCATGACTAGGTCATGTGACTGGTGTGGCATGGCCAATTTAACAGTCCATTAAACAATGCACACAAATTAAATTTTTATTTGTTTTGCTCCTTTTGTTTGCATGTTGCTCTTTTGGTTGACTTTTTTTTTACTAGATCATTTTTTCAGTTGTTTAGGACAGGGATCGCCAACCTTTTGGACCTCAGGGACTACCAAACTCATAATTTTAAATCCCAGGGACCACTAATATGAATTTTGACTGATGGTGGCTTGCTGACGGTGGGAGAGAGAGATCTGATCTAACCTATCTCTCCCTCCCTCCCTCTCTCTCTCTCCCTCCATCCCTCTCTCTCTGTCTCTCTCATACAAACACACAAACAAACAGAGGCAGGGGTGGGATTCAAATTTCTTAACAACTGGTTCTTGGGTGTGGCCTGATTTGTGGGTATGGCTTGGTGGTCATGTGACTGGCTGGTCATGGCTTATATGTAAATATTATAAATATTTATGTAAATATTATTTTTTTATAAAAAAGCAACTTTTATCCAAAATCAGGCAAAGCAGGCAGGCAGATTGAGTTGCTGTCAGAATCACAGATTCACTTA